ATCTATAGTTCACTTATCTGTTACTAGCGAATTTAGAAAATTTGCTTAGTAATATCTGGTATCTTATTTTTCTTTAATAAGATATCTTGGAATGTCACATAGGTTAGTATAGCGTCTGGTTCTCTGTATTCCTCAATAATGTGCAAATTAAGCACATAGGGTTCAAGACGCAGGTGACCATATGCTGATCACATAATTTAATTTAGTTTGATCCATCATCTGTGTGTCTCCCAAACTGCCAGAAGATACTTGTAACCAAGCCTAAGCCTGGCCACTACAACATCAGTCAGTACTTGTAACCAAGCTGAGCCTGGCCACTACAACATCAGTCAGTACTTGTAACCAAGCTAAGCCTGGGCCACTACAAACATACAGTCAGTATTGTAACCAAGCCTAAGCATGGACCTCTACAACACCAGGTCAGTTTACTTGTAAACAAGCCGAAGCCTGGCCACTACATCATCAGTCAGTACTTGTAACCAAGCCGCTCAGCCTGGCCACTACAACATCAGTCAGTCTGTTCACATTGCAAGTTGCTCCATAAAACATACTCTTATCTATGTTCATGTTATCATAGTGGGGTTTAGATCTACCAGGCTTCTAACTGCATTCCTATAAACAATCATTTTCATTATTTTACTTCTCTCCTAATATTTTTTCTTAATGCTAGAACACAGTTTACCATAAGTTATATTCTACCTTCTCTTCTGGATACTCTTCTTGGCTAACATCTGTCAACTTTATCATGAAGGAGTAACCCATGTGTGATGGGGATCCATAGCCAATTGTCTTTAATTCCTTTGTCCCTTAATTTTGAGTTCTAACCTGCTTCCCAGTGAGCATGTTGTTTGGAGTCATTATATTAGGCCAAGAGCCTTCAATGTGACATGAGAATCAGTAATGATGATAGAGTCAATGGCTCTGTGTCATAAGATAGCTTTGCGCCATTACAGGGTTGCAATCAATTCAGTTTGCAGTGTAGACGCCCCAGTTGTTATTTTTATGCCTAACCTCACAAATTTATTATCGTCTTAACTAGGGAGGTGGCAACAAGAGCTGATGCAAGCCCTGCCAGAAGACTCCTGTTTAGATCCATCAGTGTATTATAACTTGTATAACTTATTACTACCTGCTAGGCGAAAAATTTCTTCTTGAGCAGTCTGCCTCTCTAAAACAAGTGATTAAGGAAGAGATACTAGCAATGAGCTTCTTGGGAGGGACTTGTAGGTATGTGATTATTAAATGAACACATCTTCATGGAGGGGGTGGAAATGCCTCTTGTTGCCTACAGTGATACAGTTCATGCTGGTTATAAAATACTTATGCAATTGCACGTTTGCACAATCATTTTTGATCTGTGTGTTTTACCTCTAGACCACTTGTAAGAATCACTGTGACACGTGTCTGGTTTCGTTTCTCTCACATTCTAATACCGAGTACAGTGTTAATTTCACAATCTTCTCTCTGATACTAGAAATACAAGTCCTTCCTATGTTAAGAACTTTTGTAGATCTGGACTGCCAAGAATAATCTGAGAGCTTCATTTTGAATTAAACTCCAAGGTCGGAGGAGAACTTTTTCTAAGCTAATATCATCATGGGAACAGCATAATCAATAAGGACCCTAAATAGGCTTTGGCACTTATTCTCACGATTCTCACATTGACCATAGTTGGATCTGTAGCCAGCAAACAGGCTTTGAGAGCATTTAGCCTAGCTTTACATTTCTTGTTTAGTTGTGGTATAGTGGATTTGTTAAAGGGTACATCTACACCAAGTATCTGTAAGTTTTAAGTAACGCTAATGGATTTACCTGCAAATTGATGGTGGGGGATGTAGTTTGCTTCTTAATATCTTAGTTTAGAGGTAGATATTATGAGGCCTTAGTCGATTACACAAATGCTTGAACTTTTTAAGAATGGTTTATCTTCTTAATGCCCTGTTGTATGGTCCTGCGACATATCAGCATAGTTTATAGCTATATGTTTACGGTGAGCAGTAGTGCATTTAGGAGAAGCATTATCAGAATATTAAATAGGCATGGGAACTAAGAAATCCTCCTGCGTGTACCTAAGACATTTCTTTAGAATCACTTCTGAGCCTTGGTAAAGGACAGAGGATTACTCTAATTGTTTTTACAGGTATCCTATTTTATACTGCAGAGTAAGCTTCACCATATATTCATTTTGCTTAGTTCATGTAGTATACGGTTCTGTTCGCAATATCAAATGCAGATTTTAGATCAAGAAAAGTGGTAAAACTAGTAGAGGTGTGTTGCCAGTGTGAAAGGTGAGAAATACAGTTCTGCAACACTTGTACCTTTCATGAACCCATAGAGGAGGGGGAATAAGTTGGTGTCTGATTCTGTAGTACAGTCTGTTAAGTATCATTCTTTCAAAAGTTTAACAAAGACAACTAGTTAAGGAGATCGGCCAAAATTTATCAGGCGTTGGGGCTTAGGGATAGGCACAATGAGACTTTTTGGCCCAGGAAGTAGGAAGAACGCCCTCAATGAAACTGAGATTTTACAGTGCCATCAGAGGGTTATCAGGCACGTCCCATAGAGTTCTGAGAAATTCCCATAGGTTATACCATCCTTTTCCAGGAGCAGTTGATCGACCTTTGGTTAATGCATTATATAATTTCATACTCGGTAATGAGGCAATCACTCTCATAAATTTATTTTGGCTCATAAAATTAATCAGTTTCAACATTTCTTCAGAAGTACTCTCTAAATTTTTTCTAATATGGATGGAATTTTTCATGCCTGGATTTTTTGGGACCAGTCATTTTTGAGGCCCATTTGCTTTTTCAAGAGAAAGGGATGAGCAACATTGCCGTCTTTTTCCTGGTTATTTTATTTATACCTTTCCAAGCCAAACTCAAAGGGGGTGGACTATTTAATCCACTAACAAACTGTTCCCATTCCTGTTGCCTAAGTTCTTCCTTTCTATTCCTTGCATTTGTTAGTGCGCTTGGAACGTTCTGAGCAGGTCTGGGGTTCTACATTCACGGTTTTGCTTACCAAACCTCCTAGCTGCATGTGTTAGATTGGCGTAGCTGTGGATCATTATAGCATTTACATTGGTTTTTATTGTTATTTATAGTGGAGGGTCTTTGTTTCTTATTCCTGCCCACTTGATCTGTGAGAACACTCTCAATAGTGGTAATTAAATCATCATTAAATTTTTGTGTGCCATTGGGCTCGTAATTCTTATACCATTGATCCAAGTGGTTAATAAAGTTGTCTCTGTGTTCTGGTTTGAAAATAAGTTTCCTCCTTCTGTATTTAGCTCCTTGATTGCTGGAGATGTGATCAAGCTTGACAGTTGTTAGTCTGTAGAGAACCTGCGATAACACAAAAAAATCGAAGTGACTTATTTCCATTGGGGTTCTTTTACCCTATTTTTATTATAATAATAATAATATATCTTTATTTACTACAAGTACATGTACAAGGTATACAGTACTAGCTGACATCAGTGACATACTATTATATAGAAAGACCCTTGTTATGCTGAGCATGTTGGGAAAATTAGGTCAGTGTCCCAGGATGCAACCCACACCAGTCGACCCACACTCAGGATGTGACCCACACAAGTCTACTAACACCCAGGATGCGACCCACACTAGTCTACTAACACCCAGATGCGACCCCACCGTCATAACAACCCGGTTTCGACCCACACATCTACTAACCCCAGGATGCACCCACAC